TGAATAGAGATAGTCCGGATGAATGAATCTGCAACATGATATATTCAAACCTCCTTATTGGCCATTGGCCAATCCACTTACTCCAGCAGAATCCCGCAATGCTAAAGTTTATGGGGTTGCAATAGGCCTCTAATAGGGCAATGGTGTGATTGAGCGAAAACATCGTGACGAAAATCCTTTCTCTGTGCGACCAAAGCCCCTTTTCCGATGACGGAGTTCCGAAGGCACAGCCACCGCTCATCCTTCAACCACTTTTGACCTTAAACTTGATTCAAACGAGGTAACACGAGCTTTCTTCTGTCTCAAACCGGCCCCTTTTTACTCTATTAAATAACATGTCAGTTGGATAAAGATGAATCCTACGAGATAACTCTCTTACCCCCCTATCATGAATTCCAATACCCGGCTTGCAAAATTAGGCTCTTCATGGACGGCTGAGGACCTCCATGCATACAGGGTCAAGGTTGTCGATACCGACGCCTCCACATTTTTCGGAATAAATCAGCTTCCTTCCCCCTCCGTCTCCGCAGAGCTCCTCACTACCTCCAATGTCGTCGCCGACCAAGAATTCCTCACGAAAAATGACCAGCTCTTCTTCGCCTACATGTATGCGGCCATGCGGAACTCTCCAGATACGGACTGCACCACATCCGACTTCGCTGCCCACCTCCTGCGCATCCTCGGCTTCAGCCAGCTGCCTAATCGACTCGTCCGCCGTAATATAGACCTGCCCCTGTACACATGCGGCCGCAGCTTGCACGTCATTGCAGACGTCTGTCTGTGGGATCCCATTAACCAGACCGCCCTCATGATCATCAAAGAGGATAAGCGGACGCACGATCCCCATAGCGGCGATCCGGAGCCCCAACTCTTCGCTCAGGCCATTGCCGCGTTCCAGTCTTATAACCGGGCACTTCGAGCCGCACGGTTGCCTCCCGTTGACACAAAAATCATCCCCGCAGTTATCATGGCGGGTGCCACTCCAATACTTTATAAATTCGAGATCACAGCCGAGCTGGTGGAGTCCGTGCAGAGTGCACAATGCCCTACAAAAGTTACGAAGGTCCAACGACTCGTGCCCCCTGTGAACAGATGCCACCTTTTGAAAGAGGAAGGGATGGTTCCGGTGGAGACTCGTGCAGTCATGTTGAGTTGCTTGGAAGGCTTCAAGGCGTTTTTATAGCTAATAAACGACAGATGAATTAATGTATTAGGAATGATTGATTAGGCTTACTGAAAACTTGTTGTATTACTAGTATCCTATCGAATTTTAGGCACTTCATCGCAAATAGTAACTTTACTGCGACTATATGCGGTGTCCGTACGTGTGTATATGCTGAAATAGTTGCGACATAATTAAACCTAGCGTGAAAATTAGTCAATGACTTTTATAGTAACGGACTTCAACACAACGCACCATTAACCTTTGAAAGCAGGTTGATCATGGCATGAAGCTCCTATCGCGGCGACTGTGTAAGCGCTAAGGTTAAAATTTTTGAGTTCTTCACAAAAGCCTAAAATTAAAATTAAAAACCTTATCAGCTTGAACTGTGTGAAAGGGCTTTTACTTGCCGATTATTGTAGTACCCTGCTGCTACAGTAGCATGAAACAGTCATTTTTTTTTTTTTTGAAAATGAACAAAGATATAGACGCAAGCAGGAAGGAGCATCGTATAGAATTGAAAGAAACATCAGAAAACAAACAGAATCGTTTCAATTTTTTTTGGTTTATCACACCACGTGATTATTTCGTTCACATGACATCCGCCAAGTGAATGCGGCAAATTAGGCGAATTTATATGATTTAGCATGCGCTTAAAGGTCCAAATTAATCGAGCATGAGGTCAGGGGAAAGCGCAAAGAAAATACGACGAAATTGCGATGAGGGCGATCGTATTTGCGGCCTACATAGTTTAGGTGTTTATCTAAATGATGCAGGAAATAAATAAATAGAACACCATAGAATAGATCACGTGCACATCTTAATTAACTCATTCAAATATTTCCTTGAAATCGGCTTTTTCTTTCACCAAGAACGGTTCATGGAATCGCTCTTTATGCAGGTATTTTCCTGTTGCTTGGGCCGACGCTCTCGTGAACCAGTGAGTAGAATCATACACTCAGAAACTTGAACTTAATTGGCGTCATTTGTGATAAGGATATTGCAGACGACCGGTCGCGGCTTATCCCCGCGACAACGGAACCGTCCTTGTAAGTCCTTAAATTTATCCAATTTGAGTCTTACTTACTTGAGGTAATGGATCTCCTTAGAGAGAACGTCTATGATGTGGTTGTGACAGACCAGAGAAAGTTCAAGCAGCGGCTGGGTTCAATAGTGCGGGACAAAGAAGGGTGAGTGGTGCAGGCACGAGTACCCCCTCAAACACGCGGCGTCAAGCTGACATACAGTCTCACCAATTCCGCAGAAAAATGGTCAATGTAACATCCCATCTTCCTTTCAATCTCTACAACCGAACCTTGGCAGCGCAGGACCCATCGTCGTCTCGATCTACCTCGACCACTCGTGAAAGCCAATCCCAATCCCCGCTGACATACCAGCCAAGGACGCGGTCAGGCCTCCAAACCACTTCCACATTCCCTGCTCAGCGGTCTCCGTCTCGGAAATCATCACGGTCAGGGTCACCCCGCTCATCCATTTCATCCCGGCGGGGACGCGCGATCCGCTCCGTTGACGGTCAGATCGACAATGAAGAGCTTTCCTCACAGAGACCTATACTGAACGTTCGCCTTGTTCGGGGTTGTGGCGTGGTGACCGCTGGACGGCGGGGCCGGACACGACTGAAAATGGGGGAATCTTCTCAGCCGGAGCCCAAGGAGAAAGACGGGGACCTTGACGTTGATCTACGGTCAGCGGTCGGTACGGAGTCGCCAGACGTTCTGGACGGGCTAGGCGGGGTGATATCTTCAAGTAACAACCAAGTAGCACCAATCGCCACACTACACGGAGTGCGTTTGTCTTCTTTTTCTTTCCCATCACGTCAACGCAAACTTTTTCTTTTTTCTTTCAGGTTCAGGATCAGGACAATTCTTGCTCGTTTCCCCAACTGTCCATATCACCCGCATCTGATATTGATTTTCGGATTGAGGATATGGGCGCCATCACACTGAGTTGGGACGATTGATCCTCCCCTTCATCTCCACGCTCTCCAAAAAAGCAACTATAATTTTTGGTTTTTGGTTTTTGGTTTTTTTCCCGCCTTCATAGCGCTGGCAGCCACAATGCGCATCTTGTTTTGATCTTTCCTTTTGCGGAACCCCCACATCACACACACTAACATATACCTTGCACCTAGAATCATAGGCATCTTATATATACCTCCATGTAGCTATTAATCCTGGGATCTTGCCCCTTAGACACGATGATGTCTTGCGCATTATTCTTATCTCTCTGGGACATTACATACAAGTCACCACAATGCACCCCCATATCACTGGAAATTTGCGTTGTGTTAGAGCCAAGAGCTGCTGTGCAGCTGAGGCCAGTGTGTTGGGTACATGTTTAGGTACCCAAATATCATATGTGGCCCTAACCATGCTCATCGCCGCCGACGAAAGCCCCATACATATCAGGTGAACACTTCTCGTGAAAGTGTTATGCACCTGTCAGGGTCTGAGGTACCTACCCTTCCTGATGAAGTATCATCCATGCGCTCATGCTGTAATTTCACACTTCGAAGCTACTTCCAGTCTTCTCTTCGCTGTCGAGATTTCACAAAGAGAATAGTCACAGAATGGAAGTCGCCCTGAGAGCAAACATCTCGACTCGGAAGTATGCAATTGTCAAATTGCACGGCGATCAGCTCTGGATCAATGGTTAAGCCACTCAGTCTGAGATCGATTTCCGAGTCTGTGGGGCCTTGAGGACACACAAGGTCAACATAATTTCGTAAATGGGTACGTAAGTGGGCATGAACATATGAAAGTGTTGCCATCAACCATGTCCACAATCTCGAGGCAAAGTTACGTACGGTAGTGGTAAAAGCGGCAAAAAAGTTGACCCCTACCCGACTTGAACGGATGACTTTGTGGAAGCCCATTTCTGGAATCACACACTCTACCACTGAGCTAAGGGGTCATGACATAAGGGTCAACTGAAATGTATATGTTCTTATATAGGATTGGTGACCATACAGACACCAACCTAACTTACTCCTTTGTGAAAAAGTGATTCGGATACTTATGAGCAAGAATATTAGTCTGTTCGTGAATAAAAGTCCATGAGGGTGTTAGAGGAACCCACCATCACAGATATACCACACAGTTCGGGAGCCTTAGTTTCGCTACGTTCGAAGAGCCCAGGGAAGAATGCATAGAAATTGGGTGGTTTGGCGTTATGTGTAGTCATGTATATGGGTCATCAGCGAATCTAGCCAAATTTCTCGTCGGCGCCACATTGATGCCTCTCAATAACATAGACAGTTCACTTGCGGTGGTAATGTGTGTTAGTGGTACTTGAAAATGTGGGCATATCTGTCGATAGATCCGAACATCTAGTTCGTACTCGGTAACATGAAGAAACTGCCGAAACACAATCATCGTAATATCGCCTATACCCATAAATGTGGTGAGGTTGTATCATGAGTGTAGCCACTCGAAGTTTCTAAGTAAATTGAGACAATTAGATTTGATTCTACGCATATACATTGGGCTACATTGGATTGTGACTGGAGGGCCGAAGATGAAGGAGTCTAAACCTTGAAATTGATACTCGAATTATCATGTACCTTCTTCGTCTGCCTTGCGCCTGCCAAAATCATAGGTGCAGATAATCATAGAAACCAAATTTCAAAACTGCGGGAGCTGGAGAAGAAACTAACAAGATCGTGACAAATCCACCGGCTTCATACCCAAGTACTTGAGATCGTATCAAGGATTCGTAGCAGGATATCTTCGTCGACGTTTAGGTTCTAGAACACAGAATGACGACGTGAGGTTTTGCGGCAGGAAGAAAAACCGGCCGCACGAGCAAATAAAAAACGTGACCCCTACCCGACTTGAACGGATGACTTTGTGGAAGCCCATCACTGGAATCACACACTCTACCACTGAGCTAAGGGGTCTTGTGAAGTAACCGCATTCGAATTTACACAATCGGAAGCTCTCAAATTCAACCGTCCATATATGTGAACATCAGACTGGCTCCACATCCGACATAATCTTGGATACCTATATGCGCTCCATATATAAAAAGGCGGTTCCGGTACGCACACCACCCATAAACTTTTGTAAGCTATCACTAAATGTTCGGAGTTTTTAGCTCTGGCTATCACCCCATTCGTAGCACAAGTACCTGTGTCTTCAAAAGTCAGGCGGCTCTGCAGGAGGAAAGCTTTTCCTCGCTTCTCTTTTCCAACGAAACTGTCCATTCTCCCGCCCTTACAAATCATTTATGGTTTGTTTGACCCCGCAAGAGTACAGATAGGGAAGACTTTGGGCGATACCATGTGACGGAGTGGAACGAAGGACTACGTGTGGGGATTCAAGTTTGTAGGCTTTGTGCTACCAGACTACAGGGGCGTAAACACGGAAGGTCTCGCCTTCAGATTTCAAGAAACCTCCTGTGGCATCGAGTCCTCTTGAAAATTCAATCGGGCTTTCCAATAGTCGGGGTGTGGGTGCGATACGCATATATAACCTTTTAATGGTACCTACACTCAACTCACATACACCCGTAACCCTACTCGTTCACCAACCATAACCATTCTTCCGTGACGGCCGACCTTGGTGCCCCTCGTCCTCGTTTCACCACAGCCACCAAAAGCCTGAATGGGTCGATTATTCTCTTAGCTGAATGCGTTGTAGGCCATATTTTACCACCATGAGATACCGGCGTGGCATGGCAGAATATATAGGATCAACATGGAGCTGGAGAGGCATCGTACGGAACAAGCCCCTTCTGCGGATAGGGCTTGTCATGTTTCGACTCACTCCAGCTAGATGAATCCAAGATATTTTAGCTAGCAAGTTCCCCACAATATCTGGGGATTTTTCGTATGTCATACAGAGGCTCAGGGGTATTTTGACCAGTTTACGCTCAAGGGCGATAGGGATAACGCTTCATGGGCCCATTCAAAATTCCAATTTTAGACAGGGCGTCCAGGAATGCAACATTTTTCACTTTGAGCAAATAGCGTGTACATATGGTACACGAATCAAAAACACAACCAAGTTTTTATGTTCGGCCACCGATTCGGATATCTTTCCAGCCACTTACATCAAGCACTATTCATCCAAAGTATGTCCTCGTTTTGTTAAAAAAATTTCCCGAGGTCAACTAATATGGTCCATCACATAGTGGCAAACTCTCGTTATCGGTGCTACGCGACGTTAGAACACCATCTACGAATGTCACCGTCCGATAACTGACTCCATACGATGTTCCGTGGCACGCATGCGGAACAAGGCTCCAACATAACAAAAGGAAGGCCCAACACCATCGACTAGATCATCAATATCACCGGGCATCCTCGTGGAAATATGTATATATACATTTCTATAAGCGATATCAATTCATCACGCTGGCTATCAACCCACAAGATTTCTCGTGTAACGTTAGCAGGTTGCCCAGAGTATGGGGGAAACGTTGGATACCATTACGATTACCAGCTCATGCAAAATATACCCATCCAGTTTCTAAAATCAACCGATAGTGGCACCGCCCGCACCGACATATACATTCTTTCTAATCGCTGCGCTCGTGAGCATAGGCCCAGAGGAGGGCGCATGCTTTTTTTGTGCCCCTGTCTCGTATAGCCTCCGAACAAGGGAGCTGAAGCCGGATTTATGAATAAGGAAATCCTGTATTCTTTTTTTGAAGTTCCCTCTGGATCGTTTGATCATCCCGAGGAAATGGTCCTGGCATCCGATGCACGCCGGGTTATTTATCCCACTACAGAGTGTTCATGTTATGCCTATTCTTCAGGCTCTACATACTCTCCCTCCTCTTAATGGAGGATGTCCCATTCATCTAGTACTTTCTTTCCTCTGGACACAGTTGGTCATCGGTCGAACTCGATATCACCAGTCCGATGTCCCCAAGACATATATCTGTCATTTTTCCATCTCACATATTCTTATCATCAAGTTACGAATCAGAAATCAACATGGCAATCCCTAGGCCCGCCCGCTGTCCTGCTTCAAAATTTCGATGCCACGCCCTGCATGAATTCACCAACCACTCGCCACTCTTATCTTCCGGTCCCATTGTGCGATCGAACCTTTTAAGCCTCTGACCAACTTATTTTTTCAAAAGCGACTCCTGGAAGGTAGTACCGAACCTCTTTTTCACGCTTTGCCAGCCGAGAGATTTTAGAGTTGTGGGCCATTATGCCATCGCTCCCCTTCGCAACAATTCAAGAGAAAAGATCGCTCTTGCAGCTTAAAAGTATTGCATTGATAATCGGGGTCAGTGGGTCGGAGAGTTATATCGATTG